TTGGGTTTTGATTTTCTTTTTACTTTAACTCAGGCAGTAAAATCCATTTATAAAAACTTTCCCAAAGGTGTTCACTTTTTAAAACAATTTTTGATGAGCCATTATGACATTAAATTGTAATAAACATAAGATGAAATCCATTAGGAAATTGAGTAATTATGATTTTCAGTGGACAGGAACCCTAATGTATAAGAATAATTTCAAGCAAATTGCATTCTTTTTCACACTTTTCAAGAGCTATAAATGTAATAAGTTGCATGAAATAGCTCCGAAGAAATAGACCTTATTGGAGCCCGAAAAAACAGATTTTAAAAGCCTCAAATTCCACAAAATGAAATCTTACTCATGATGATTTTATCTGTGTTTTTTCAATTCCTGTGAAATTTGAAGTTCATTTTCTCAGGCTCCCAAGAGAAATTGTCTTTGGTCTCATTGCAGATAACTAATTACATCTATTTACCGTGTTTTGTTGGAATACATGCTTAGTAATAAAGGGCAGTAACCTTCCAGTCGTGTAGCCTTCGTAGGGTGGGCTTTTCAGAGCATGAGCCATGGATACTACCCAGATTTCCTGCCGAGTTTTTTCCCCACTAGTGTATTTTTTTCCGGCAGGTTTTTTCTGGGCTCCGTTCTGACAGTATTCTTTGTAAAATGTCGCTCAGCTCTGTTCTAGTTTATCTACCACATATTCGAATGTAATAGAAGTTGTAGTATAACGTATTGTTATTTCTGCGGTGCTCGGCGGAAACAGCCAAAATAAATCCAATGTTTTTTTCGATTCATGTTGTACTGCGTAGTGTAGCTGAAATAGAGAGACTGGGCGCAGTCATGTGGTTATTAACTAGAAGTAATCAGGGATTAATAAATGCGTTCGAACATTGGTCATGGGAATTGAGGTTGGTTCAGGGTGTCTCTTTGAAGATACTTAGCTCAGAGACTAAAGGGAATAATAAAAAAAGACATGAAATATTCTTCCCTCAGAATCGATCTCAATGTGTTCTTTTTTTTTTTTGCTTTATATCGCTCAGCCTTGGATCCAAGAATGAATTCTAATAAATTTGAAACTGGCACGTTAAGAAATGTAACAGGTAGTTGTATTAAACCTACGAAATTTTCAAAAAACATTGCATTTACTCCAAAAAGGATTGAGTTCCTGAACTTACCGAGTGGAACAGATTTGACGAGCAGCTGACTGACGAAGAAAATGAAAAGCGCAGACGAAGAATATAAATATAATTTGTGATGTAAATACTCAGTAATTTTTAATTACTTGTAATATTTTAGTATGTAAAAAAATAGTTACATTACAACGATAATAATAGCAGTTTTGTATTTCTTCTTTTTTTTGGCACGGCCTAGTTTTAATTATTACCGTCAGATAAATAAAGTTTATTGATTGATTTATTGATAGAAAACAAGCAAAGCTTCACGTGGAAGAAATTAAAATCACTCGCGCGCATTCTGATGCTTTCAGATGCGCGCGCAGCGCCCATGGAGTCTATGACGTATTCCCGGAAGTTGAACTAACCTAAACAAGACGCTACGGAGCGTACACTTCGGCGTCGTGGTTGTGGAACTGATTAATTGTAAATGCGGAGGGATAGTAAGAAATGAAATATGGTAAGGGTAAGGTGTTAATTTGTGAGATTATGGGATTTGTCAGGATATTCTGAAAAGAGCAAGATCCAAGAGGCCTACTTGCCAAAAACTAGCATTTCGGGACAAATTGTCTCTGAGATATTAGCCCAGTTATGCTCTGATGACTCGTTTAGACCTAGGTCAAATGTGAGGTTACTGGCGGTTATATGAGGTTACAACAGGCTTCAAAAACAGCATACCAGTCTCATGTACTGATTTAAGATATGTAAGGCATGGGTAAAGAGTCAATTACGTTGATCATGGAATTGGCTAAAACTCAATGTTACGAGTTCAAATGTTTTGAGGATAATTATTCACTAACTATCAGCACGCAGGGATGTCAGATTAACACAAGGAAGCTTAATACCAAAGGAACATAGTGTTTACAGGGCTTTAAAACACAGCATCCGCCAGCACAAACTTGACTTGAACTTAAGTAAAACTAAACAGCCCCTGCCAATAATTACAAACTCTCACTTCAACTTCAGATATCTTACGGCTTCCGCCAACTTGTAAACACATAGCTTGAAAATCGACCTGGGATGTCGGGGTTGTAAGATTGCATGTAAAGGAGGGTTATTTTCTTTACCCAACCTAAGCGGGTTACCTCAACTACTCGGTGTCCTCCCTGTAAACAGGGGCCCGTTTCTCGAAAGCCCCGGTAACGTTTCGGGCCCGAAATCAAATTTTCAAATCGAAATATAAAGGAATAAGAGCGCGGGTTCTAGGTAGCAAACTACTCCATTCTGTTTCATTGACTGGTAGTTAAATCATGTTAGATGCAAAACTATTGAAACCTCTACCTTGCATGTAAACAACAGCTTTACGCGGCCGTTAATTATCGGGACTTTCGAGAAACGGGCCCCAGGCCCTTAGTTTGTGGTTTTGTGGCTAGTTCGTATGTCCTGATCTTTGCTGTGATTGGTCATAACACAATAAAGAGTCCTGAGATATTTCAAGTGTTCACGGTTTTCCGAGTGTAGCTAGATGTCGTGGGTAGTGGGTAGAGGTCGTGGGTCGTGGGTGTGGGTCGCGGGTGTGGGCAAATGTCGTGGGTAAAAAAAAAGTTCAACAAAAAAATAAAAAGTGAAGCGAATAAAAAAAAAATAGAAAAAATGTAAAATATTTATGAAACGAAAACCTCCGACTCCTTGATTGTCCTTTTCACGGCTTCCTCTTCGTCCTCTTCCGGATATTTCCTTGGCCACCTGGGACCCTTTCACAACATCACTGTATACAAGACCTGTTGCCAATGAAGATTTATCCATACCTGAGCGATCGCCACGAAATAAACGAAACAGACGTAAAATATGTCGAAACGTGCAATTTGCAGAAAGTGTGGACAGCTCTGATTCGCTGAATGGAAATAGCTGCTTACTATAGTTAATCTTTATTCGATCTAAAATTCCAATGATCAACGGAAACTCTCTTAACACGATGGAATGCGATAACCTTGGGAAAGGGGAGGGGAAGTGAGGAAAAAAAAGGACAATTTTGAGCTATTTCATATTTTTGGATAGAAGTCTTTCTGAGGAAGTTTTAGGACTCTCTGCTTACGAAGGAACCACCTTCATGCTCAACCTTTCTAGTTAAGGCAAGACGGTATTTTTATATTTTTTCGATTCTTTTTTGTTTTGTTTTGTGTACAAAGTCTTTGCTGTAACGATTCTGAATATCATTCTTTAAACTGAAAGGACGTTTCAGTCACGAATAGGGTTGTCCAATGCACACGAGCTGAGTACGGGTGGTATAACGTTCAAGTCGACCCGTCTACCGGAAGTCGGGTCGTGGATTTAAAGAGAAAAGGGCAGTGACGACTGGTCAAGGGAAACACATGTAGTCGACGTGACTTTCTGGTTGTCTGGTGGTGAAGGGAAATAGAAAATTTTCACGACTTGAAGGTTGTGAAAGGGGGTTGAAAGATGGTGACGGATCGTGACGACTCGTCACACGTGTAGCGTGTTTCCACTCTCCTTGTTTCTCGGCGTGTTGCGGGTTTTAAGAACGAGGTATATACATGTGTCGCGTGCTTGTTTCTTGTTGTGGAGGTCTTGTCTGGCTTCATTTGTCACCATCTGAGAATCGGGTCGTCTTAAACAATGTCGGGTCGTATGACCCGTCACCATCCGACACGATCCGTCAAGATTTTATAAAGGTTAATTCTAAAAAGAAAGCAAAATATCCAAAGATACTTATTTTAAGAGCACAGTTTGCCTCAATTCATTCAAAGTCTCAATTTTTCATACGTTTTCTGTAATTTTGATACTGTCGAAATACAGAAAATGTATGGGAAAACCAAGATTTTCTAAAAACTGATCACGGACTTCTTTGCACTCCAGATTTAGTGTATTGTTTATTTGAACTAGTAAGTTACTCTTTTCGAAGAAAAAGCATCAAATATATGAATTCAAGAGGAAATAGTGGGCTTTGAATTCTAATACAAATCTTCTATCTAATTTCCCGCCATCTTGCCGTGATTACCCATGATGCAACTATGAGCGTGAACTCCTATATGCCGCGCCGGCGAACGTGGAGTTTGTTCAGTCTGGGTCCTCGGCAACCTCGGTCCCAGGGTTCTCTCCTACCCGCCCTACGGAGCGAGAGAAGGCGGGTAGGAGAGAACCCTGGGACCGAGGTTGGGTCCTCGGCCGGGAAATGCCAGTCGTTTAACTGACGTTAAAGGTCAGGATAGAGAAATTCGGGGTCTTTTTTGGTGGATTTGGAGAGACGCGTGGAACGCCGAGTTGGTTGAGTCATGATAAACAAATAGAGTGTGGTTGAACAAAACTAAGATGAGCTTGACCGTGATAGCAGTGAGCGTATGACTGACTAACGCGTGACAATTACTAGACTTATGTACTCGAGTTACATCATTGCACAATTTTCCATCCTCACAGAAATGACGAAGGATACCCTTATATAGAATATATACATTGACTATATATTTGCCGATGGTTTTTCGGCGGGTTTTCACATCTGCGTAATAAATGACATGAATACGAGAAAGCATACTTTGCAGTTAATAACAGGCGAAAATTTTTACATCGCTACGGAAAAAATCAAGCTAAGCGACACAGTCGGTGTCTGCTTATGCACTTGTCACTGGAAACTTGGGTGGGGGAGGGGTTTCCAGTGACAAGTGATATATTCAATGTCCATTCCATTCATTTCTCATCAGTTATAGTCAAAATGAACTTTTCTCTCGGAAAACAGAGTATATTGATATGAGCTTATCAGATTATATAGGGAAGTTAGTTTCATGTTCCGAGCTCAAAAAAGCCTTATTTGCTGTCCAACTGACATTGTGTTCTTTCACATGAAGTCATGCGGTTCCTCTGAAGCGTGACTTGTTAAATCGTACCTTATTCCAAATCGTTCAAAGAAACTGATGGTGTATTTGCCTTCTGAAATCCATAATTAAGCATGTTCAAAGCTGTTATGTCAGCCACGACACACTGTTCCGAATAACCATTTTGTTCGTTGTCTTCCTGGTCACTTGTTTTTCGAGAAACACATCCGGGACATCGAGGGCGACATTTTCGTTCTTCAATAGCCGCCATTATTGAATTTAATACACTTGATACAATGCATAAACCTAAGATATAGTAAAATGTAAACAGTATGCCGATAAAGGCTGCTGAAGTCACCTTTCCCGCTGAGCGAAATTTTTCATCCTCATCTTCATTCACTACTGAGTTATTAATTGGTAATTGTGTGATTCGCTGGGATTTAGCAGGAACGTAGTCGCCGAAACCAATCGTAGAAAAAGATACGAACCAGAAATATACACCCTCAAGAAGTCTCCAATCTTTCAAGAACATTGTTAAAACGCTGCTTGTTATGATTAAAGCGACCATAAACGAAAACAATATCACGGCACTTTTAGTTTGCTTTCGTGTTGGCTCCAATCTCTTAAGGAGTTTTCTTTCGAACTTCTCAACAACTTTACTAACCAACTTGGTAATAAGTTCGCCGACAGATTTTAGTGCCAGCAGTGTGATTGGAATACCTATGAAAGCGACGAAGACACACAGCATCTGTCCCTTGGTTGTTTGAGGGGTGATGTATCCATAACCTATCAAGAAAGAGATAAAGAATAACATTGAATTTGACAGCATTGTGTTAGCAAGGGCAACAAAACAGTTCGTAACGGGGGAAGGGGCTATTTGCATTTTTTTCTTAGGTGGTTAAGTACTCAGTGATACTTTTTGCTGGCGTTAGTGTCATAAAACCTGAAACATTAGGCCAGAGAATATACGTCTACAATTCAGTTTCATTCTATTCATAACTCAAGGTAGATACTACATGTCAGAAAAGGTGTAAAAGTAGGCCCTACTGTATTTGCTGGAATAAGCGCCGCTTCCGATATAGCACCACCCCCATTTGAGGGACGAGGAAAACTTATTAACCCCCCGCGGTTAAATACGCTTTCTTTTTATTTCTGGTTCGAGCTGTTTGAAACACAATTAGCGTCAATTCAGAATTCAAGTTACCATCTGATGGTAACTCATATGCTCTGTTTGCAGCTAAGTCAGAATTAGAGTTAAAAGGCCTTCCAACAGCCCGACCCATGTTGGCTGAAAAGTAAATGATGATATGAGCGCTCGTACCCAGATCCCTTGTCCTCGAGAGATCTGGGTACGAGTTTACCGATGATGGTCTGTCTTCAGCTCACGAATGATCGTTGGCGTTGCAAAATAAATTGGAAGATAAAATCAGCTTGTTTTTACCGCTCATTCCAAAACTGTACTTACAGGCCTTCCATTTAAAAAGAATAAATTTGACCATTACTTTATGCCCTATGAGGTTAGTTGACGAACGGTCAACAAACTCTTCTTAGCTTTATACATGCAAGCTAATAAACTAACCCTACCTTGCCTTACCTATAGTAGTCATGGCTTGAAATACGAAGCGTACCGCAACATCGAAGGTCCACTGCCTCTTTGGCTCGCTTAGAGCTTCGTACGCCACATTGGAAAAGTTATTGAACTCCTCGATAGTTATGTTGCATTTAGATGCCATTTTCTCATACAAAGAGCGCAACAACTGGTATTTTTCTTTAACATCGTTTTCCTCTGTGTATTCGACCATTACGAAAAGCCAAGCGCTCAGACAGGCCCATAAAACAAGGCCTAGAAACCGAAAAAAAGTTGTTTTGACCAACGGATCCATACGGACATCACCCCTTCTGAATCTTCCGCAGACGATGAGAGCTGGAAGGAAAATTACTGTATTTTAAAACAATCGTCGATCAGCTGAAAATTCTTGTTACATTATGACTGTTATGAACTCAGCAATAATCTCTATAACCATGTCTGCCTTGTGGAAATTTAAAAGCTTTATGATTGTAAATAGATGAATCTTTGAAGTGCCCTAGCTGTTTATTTAAAAGGTTTTACCACAGTTAAAAACGTTTTGTTAAAATTAATATTTGTTTTTTTTTCAAAGTCAAACAGACCGAGTTATTGTCACTCTAACTAATGGCCCAAGAAACTCAGGTTTGAATACAAATTTTTCATAATCGCTTGCTTATACTCACCCGAAACTAACATCTGCTCTATGCCGACGTAGTTGCTTTCTGATAATTAAATTCTGTTTGATGACCAGCGCTCCTTGGCAAAGTAGGGGTGAAGTGGTCAAAGTGAGGAGAAAGAATACGATTGATTACCTTACGAGAATTTAATAATCTGCAGGGCGAACTGATGACAGGTCAATTATCTCGGGTTTAACATGCTGTCATAGCAGATAAATTTCCTTTTATGCCAAACGCAATTTGAATTGATTCTCAAACTGTTTCCATAACATTTTGTTGAAGTAGGAAATATGAATAATCGCCTTTGTTAATTTTAGCCAATCAATTAGCATCGTCTATAGACGGATAAAGAAGGAGTCATCTCGCCATCTACAAAATTACAAATAAAATTGAGAATATTTCATGACAGCAGTGGTTGAAAAGTGCATGAACATGGCGAACCATGCTTTATGAACAGTTACAAAAATCAGTCAGCATAAAAATTCAGTTTTCGCTTTCTACGTTTTCGCTTTCTAATTCCTTGAACTTCGGGATAAAATTACTCCTCAGCAGCCAACAGTCAGTACGATTGAAAATGCGAAATTAATTAATTGCGAAAGCTATCATGCTATCAACGTTTGGCGGCGGGATGTTTCACACTCAGTCTGATGTTTGCTTTCAACTTTTTATTTCACCTGGAGTATTGACTAGTTATTCAGTCATTAACGACATTTATGCCATTCGGCGAATGTTAAACCTAACGCTCGCAATGACTTTTATCTCTGAAGCCTCTTTCCGAGAACTATAAAACAGATTGGAGCCTATCTCCTCTACGATTAGAGCATAAAGTTATTCAATATTTATTTTGTAATTACCTTAGCTATAATTTTTAAGTTTATCTTATATACATGTGTATATAATGCGAAGGCGTTTATAGGAGAGTATGCAAGTCGAAATAAAAGGTTCTAATAGCATGTTAACTCCTCTTCTAATTTCTTATCAATTTCACCGCACAGTCATATCTCTTCCTTACACTCTGAAAGTCATTATTCATTCTCAGTACGATCTCGGGTTTAGAATGGAACTGATAATAACACAGGTAATCTAGCATATGTCCACATATGGTAAAGGCAGGTGACGGTAAATCAATAATCAAAAATCAATCAATAAAAGCTCCTCCTTTTGAGACACATTTTGAAGACTTTGAAAGAAATTGAAAGTTAACATGAAATGAAGCAAATAAATTAATTCTAAGCCTTTAAAATGAAGCAAAGAAAAAAAGTGCTATTGCTTTTGTCTTGTCGTCAATGACAGACGCATCAATCAGAGAACACAAATAAGGTAATTTTCAATTGAGTGTTTCGGTTTCCGGCTTTGCATTGGTTTTAAATTTGTCAATCCTGTGTGGATTACAAAACAATAGCCACCTTTTGCCAATCAGAAAAAAACAAAACCAATCGCGACTTGGTTCTCGCGTTGTTAAGGCCGGTTAAATGACGTTCATCTTCGATTTCTCATTGGCTCCCTCTGTCTTGTTTGTTCTAATTGGACAGATTTGCATCGAATCAGTGAACACAAATAAGGTGAGGTGAATTACTTGTTTATATGCTCTGAATTATTACCGCAAGAATGAAACTAATAACTTGTATTATAAAAATTTGGAGAAATTGAACAGGATCAACCCTTCATTTATCCTAAATTTCCCAATTAAAGTTTCGAAAACAGTTTAGCCCCAGGCCTAGTTAATCACTTGGTCTTCCGGGGAATATCAACGTGAATCATCAATAGAATTTAGAATTATGATCAGCTGTATGATGTTGTCTTATGAATTTCCCGAATCCCGGTATCCCAGCGGTTAAAAAAAAAGATAGATGAAGGGAACAGTTATACAGATATTTTTAGGCCTTCTCGCGCGAGCTTTAGAACTTTCTAGGCAGTAGTTGTTCCGTTTCAACAGCTTTTTAACAGCTGAAGAAAGTGGTTGGTATTAGGCAGCAGGGAGAAAAAGAGACCTCTGCCATGGGCCGAAACGGACTTTGCTGAGCATGCTCCGCGGTTGCTCGGAGATCGAACCATCACGTGATTATGTTACCGCATGATCAAGTGACACACCTCAATAGAAGGCGCCAAAATGCGCGCAGTCTTGTTGGCGTGATGTCTTAGACGCCGGTCAACTCTCCGAGTAGAAATCAGAGAAAAATATCAAGTTCTCCAGAGCTTCCCTTAAAAAAATAGAACAATCATCTAAAGATAGTTGCTGTTAATCAACTTCAAATTATCTGAGTTGGACTCACATTCCTGTTTCCCTGCTAGAGCGAGTTGGTGGTCTCTTTCTCCTTAACTGTAACTTTGAACTTAAACATCTTAACATACACATTCCATTGATCTTTTACGAGAAAGCCTTGTTGGCCTGGCAATCCATAAATTCGTTCACTCCCTCCTCAAAAGAAGAAATACTGAATGAAATCTTATGGAACAACCGCTTTATTAGGATCAACAATTATTCAGTATACTATAAAGCATGGCATGTAGCGGGTGTTGAAAAAATTGGAGATCTCTTCAACGGCAATACCTTTCTATCTCACCAAGACTTCTGCTCTTATTTTGGTCTTAAAACTAATTTTCTTACCTACTACGGTTTATGCAAAGCAATTCCTCCTAACTGGATCAAAATTATGAAAGGTAAATTACAACCGCCTTCGAATAAATCCATAAGTATCGATAGAATTCCCGTTGAGAAGCTTTTCTAAACTTGCTACCAACTTTTTTGTTGAAAGGAGAAAAAAATTTGTTCCTGCCACCGCCAAAAAAAAGACTCAGAAAAGCTAGTTTAAACGAACAGCAAATTTCTCAAATTTACAAGATGCCTTTCAGTGCTACGAAACGACATACAACTCTCAATGTTTCAGTTCAAGTTTTACACCACATTTGGAGAAAACAACATTAAATTATATTTTTCGAATTAAGGAACATGACCTTGGCTGTCATTTTATGCTTTGAAAAAGCAAACAATCACACACCTATTTGTGACTTGCCCCAATGCTCAGCTGTTTTGGACACATTTTTCAGTTTGGTGGCGCGAAAAAAACAACATTGAGATCTCGCTTTCTGAAGCACAAACACTTTATGTCTTGGTTTAAACCTCTGCTTGATAATTGCAAAATACTATATTTACACCGCGTCTAAAAACGAGGAAGATTATTTTTTCGACGCTTTTTTGTCTATCCTTAAAAATAAAATACAAATTGAAACTAGCAAAGCTAAGGTGCAAGTCAAGCTGTAAAAATAATTTTCTTGATTCTGGCTAATTTCCCTTGTTTTTTGGCTTTTTTGTTTTGTTTGTTTGTTTGTTATTTATTATTTATTTATCTATTTTTTTGTCGTTTTTAGCGTATTTACTCTTCGTTAATAGATAGTAAGTTAGTAATTAGTTGTATTAGAATTCTTTTTTCATTATTTTGTAACAGACTCCAACTCATCGGCTCCTGTTTTGTAAGCATTATCTTGTAAGTTTATATTATGTAAGTAAGAAGTATTTAACTTAGCAAGTTATATGTAAGTAGGTATTAAAGCTTTATGTAAGTAAGTGAGTACTATGTAAGTAAGTCAGCATTATGTTTGTAAAAACAATAAAAAAAAAAAAACCATAGTTAAAAAAAAAAAAAAAAAAAAAAAAACAAGGATATAGAGTGTTTTGGCTCATGTTACCTAAGGCCATCTTGATTCACTTGTAGCAGAGCACCGCAAGCGCGCGAGCAGAGCCCATAACTAAGAAATTTGCTTATCCATACAAGAATTTTGGTAGTCACGTGACCGTGCGTCTGCCCGTTCGTCTGCACCACATGTCAAGTCAAGTCAACTTTATATAGCCATTGGCTGGTAACAAAAGGGGCTCTGCGTAAATAATGACTACATGATAAAATGTTTAAGAAATAAAAAAAAATAAGAAATTATGTACAAGGACTTTAAAAAGTAAATAAAAGGAAAATTACATATCTTGATGGAATCACAATTTGTTTATGATTAAGGGGGCTACCTTAAGTGACGTAAGTATATTAATAAGAAAAACTAATGGCTAAAGTCTAGGGTAAGGTTCCGCAAATATGGAAAGCGATGTAATACCACCGGGTAACTAAATTGGGAGCCTGAGGCTTATATCACACATCAATGCTGTGGCTAATTGACAGCTGTTAAAATAGGTTATTTGCTGACCAGTGTCACATGAGCGTATCGCGAATTCAAGTGTCGAACCATCGAGGATGCGTTTTTCTCAAGTTCCCCGCTGACAAGTTACTAGTTTTCAACTGATCCCAGAGGCTCAACCGAAGGGAAACATTTTGCATAAAAAAGGTAGTTCAGTTCCCAATGGACTGCTTTGCTCCTCCAACATGGTCGCCATCTCTTTGTTTCACGCTCAGTTCCCCAATATGACCGCCTCGACGTTAACAAGACAGACTCTACATTTAGCGTTAAATGATTTTCTATAACTCCAGCGAACAGAGAAATTTTACTTAAACTATCAACCGTGGAATGGCTAATGATAGATTATTTTGTAATTGGTTTATTCAAGAGATCAGAATGGTCTTTTCGTTTATTTCATTTTACATACTGAATTAAAGTCATGTTTCTGTCTGGCATGCAACATTAACCAGCGTTTTATTTGCCAAGTCACTGACGCCTTGCTGTCATGTGGTAATTGCGGGGTCCATATCCACGGGTTTCCTTGTCTTTCGCGGAATACATCCAGGATAATGCCATTTTCGTTCTTCCATGGCTGCCATTATTGAGTTTAATACACTTGACACAAGGCACAAACCAAAAATGACCTCAATTTCCCAGGATAGGGCATAGAACACATCAGGGCCCTGTTTCTTTTCTTTAAATGCATCATTAGAGCCATTGACAGGTAAGTGGTCTATTCTTCTGCTTATCTGAAAAGGAATATAGTCACCAAAGCCGATGGTGCTACAAGTCACAAACGCGAAATACACTCTTTGGAGGAGATTCACTTTCACGGAAATCTGTAGAAGACCGATGACAAAGATTGTCAGCAGCATCAGGAGGAATAAGATCACAGCACTTTTGGTTTGTACTTGCTTTGGAACTGGCCTTCCCAGAATGTTCTTCTCAAACTTCGTGATAACTGTGTTGACCAGTTTAAGGATAACTTCGCCGACGGATTTTAAGGCCAGCATTGTAATCGGAATCCCCAAGAAACATACCAAGATACACATTATCTGGCCGGTTGGTGTTTGAGGCGTGATATAACCATAGCCTAGAGGAGATACAGATACGGTTTTTCATGAAATTGAAAACCTGAGCAACTTAAGTGGAACTTGTTTCATCCAATACTCCCACTAACTGAACAAACATTTTAGGGACCTTAAGCAAGGTAGACAGCAACAGCAACGAGAACGTCGAAAAACAATCGATTAAAAACGTGGCCCGTGAATCACGTTTTTTTTGTACATAATTCTTTGCCGTCACGTCTTCACGACTACCACGTGCGAGTGCCTATAATCCTTAACGTTTGTGAAAATCAGTCGGTCTGGAAGGGTATTTGTGAGACCCGGGATTTCGCCAAATACTGCGTAGGCTTCAAGAAAACACAAAATATCTTGACGGGATACGGGATTTCACTGCTACCATGGGATCGGGATTTGCCAAAATTTGGCGACGGGATGTACGATATTTTTTTCTGTCTGTCGAGAATTCGTGAAATCGTCAGGATTCAAACGTTCAAGCGGCAAATGTGAATCAACAAGATCAACAAGACAAGCGTTAAAAGGTGCGGGTTCAAAACAACCCGTTCAGGGGGCCTGTTTCTCGAAAGTCCCGATAATTAACTGGCCCGGTAAGCTGTCTCCGTTTACATTAAAGATCGAGGTTTCAATAGTTTTGAATCTAACATGATAAAACTATCAGTTAGTGAAACAAAATGGAGTAGTCTCCTACCAGGACCCGCGCTCTTATTCTTTATATTTCGATTTGAATATTTGATTTCGGGCCCGAAAAGTTACCGGGACTTTCGAGAAACGGGCCCCTGACCCTGATAAAAACACTTGAAAGTTACAAGAACGGATAAACCGGTACGTGGTCCTAAAAGTGTCCTCACTCAGCCATTAACTGAAAATACTTTCTAGAAATGTGGAATTGGCGAATGGGAGAAAATACTAGAAAAGATGAGGATGGTCTCCTTTTTTGTTTCAAATAACGTTCACGACAATTTTCAGGAAAAACAATGCACATAAGAAGGAAACTCGACACTGACACAGAAATCAGCTGAAAGAAAGGAAACTTATAATAAATGATCTTTTTCCTTCACACATAATTAACCCGTAACGACAAGAAAAAACCCAGGGATAACAATCCCGCCAGCCACGCGGGCTAACACTGGACCTTACCTATTGTCGTAAAAGCCTGGAAAGTAAAATCAACTGCTTCGTAGTAGCTCCACTGCCGTTTTGGTTCGCTCAAAGCTTCATACGCCACTTTGCTAAAACCGTTGAACTCTTCAATAGACATGTTGTATTTAGATGCCATAGATTCATAGAGAGAACGAAGCAGCTGTAATTTATCCTGTGCGTCATCCTTTTCAGTATTTTCAAATAAAAAGAAAAGCCAAGCACTGAACAAAGACCATGCAAAAAAGCGAAGAGTCCGAAAAAGAGCTTTTCTGTATAGGGGAATCATTTAACACAGAAGTTCTTCTCTTAATCTTTAAATATTTCCGACTTGGTTTAACAGCGTATGATAGCCTTCAACTACAACGATATTGTATTCGAACCGAAACAATTAATCCAAAACCATCTGTTGTTAACAAAGTTTTATCCCGTACGTTTCCTAAAATGGCCTCTTTCTTTTATAAACACCCACCAATTTGCTCATATTCTTTGTCAAATATGGAGTAAACAGCTATGCTGCTGTTATACTGTTAAAAGTCAGCTAAACTGGATAGCTTTGAAAGAGGCTCCTGCAAAGACGACCAATTGTAAAAAACCTGAATTAATCATAGCAGGATACTAAATAGCCAGCATAGCGTTAAGTATTGCCCAGCTTGGTCATAAACAGGTTAATCATAACTATAACAAAATTCTCAAATCTGATTGGCTATTAGCTGTCCTGATTTCAGCACCAACAGGACACTGTTATAGGACAGTACGCGTCATGCTTGATAAGTAACTGGATAGTACACGCCTTGTCGCGCGTGCTTAAATGACTTTTTTTTTCAATGCCATGCGAGCAAAATTTCTGGTGTTATGATTGAGAAAAGGCTAAAATATCACATTTTTTGTTATAGTGCTGATTAACTGGTAACAGAACTTCGTGTCGTCCAATTTAGTCTGTAATCATACTCGTGATTAAACAAATCGGTCTCCCGCCGGCGAGCTGAGCAATAACTATGTAAATCCGGCAGAACACTAACTCTAAATTGGATTTCAGTTCTCAATGGACAGGTGTTTTTTTCCATTTAACTTCAAACGAATGTAGACTATGTAAACTACCTATATTGCTACCACTACAAACTTGAAGTTTGTATTGCATTGGAAAATATTAAGACGAGCATTGACAATTTAAAAACATGTAGAGCTCAAAAAGAACTGAATCTGACAATCATTAGATTTGTAATACTGCGACTCATTTATATGTTTAATGGTAAGAAACTCGTCAGGCACTTTTCAAAAACCATGTCTTAATTTTTAGGTCTAAAGAAGATGCTGAGTAAAACTCCGTAATATTTGCCTTATAGGTATGTAACGCTCCAAAGGGGTAGGGGTTTAAGGCTGTGTTGGTCTTTAAACGGCTATAAATTTTGCCTAGTTTGGTTTGATTTCGGGTATAGTTTTTGAGGGAATACCGGAGTGCATGAATTCAATATCTGTCGCTTCAAATCCTAACGAATAAGCATGAAAGAGTAAAATGTGAATAGAGCAATTCCGATATATTAAAATTCAGACTTGGCTGCGAGGCTTGGGGAAATAAAACAAAAGAAATCATCCTGAGGCTCAGCAATGAATAATACATTTCTTCTGTTTTATTCCCCCAAGCCTCGGAATCAAGTATGAATTTTAATATATCGAAAAAGATCCATTCGAAATGGATCTTAGATATCTTTTCGTTGGCGTTCTAATCTAAGTAGCGACGACATAATTCCTCGGCCGACGCCAGATCTGAAAAAGTGTATGGATTTTAGAAGCCAGGTCTGAAAACGGGTGTGGAAAATGACAATTGTTTGACTGAGATAGGTTCAGGATTTGGAGAATCGGGCGGCGCACCCACACCACGAATTTCCTCCCACTTCCAGGTCTTAAGCCCTAGGTAAATGGAACTGTGACAGCTGGTTAACAGCCGACAACCCTTAGGAAAACTGAAATTCGTGATGAAAATTGTTAACTGCTCAGCTGTCTTGCAACAGGAACTGACCTTATGTATTCTCAGGCTACGTTTTATGCACTAGAGGTAATTTTTCCGGATTTGTAACGAATCTGGAACATTTTCAGATTCGGCGTTTGACCGGTTTGGTCGCGTATTCGGAGATTTTGAATCCGAAATCCCAGGTGAATGCATTTTATCCGAACTTTTAAATCTTCAATGTTTTGATTGAAGATACTTTCCGCCTGCGATAGGACGAGTTTGTGATTTCTAGAGCAACAAGTGAAATACGTGTCACACAGATCGAAGGAAAAAGGGTTAAAAAAAAAGTCCTTGCCCGGAAAATTGACGACACTTCTGTTACACGAAACAGCCTGAGCGGAATTCGCGATTTGGCGTTGCAAGTTTTTGAAGCCTGTTCAAAAACTTGCAACGCAAAAATTAAGCAGAAAAACGTCCGCGCATCCATGTCACACGGCATCAACTTTTAATGCAATTAAATCGTTTCGCGAAAAATTGTCGTGGCGATAAACAAGGGCCGCTATATTGGGGACCTTACGATCCGACAACGGCGACGTTCATGAAAACGTCGCTGAAAAGTAGACTTCCCATCCTTGCACTCTTTTTTGCGATTATTCCAAGGGGCCCAGTTGCTTAAAAGAAGGAAATTTAGTTTTGAGCTGAAGAGAAGGGACCGCCGGCCCAAGTTCTGACAGAGATGGTTGAATTTATCGCTTCGCCGTTCCCGTTCCCAAGTAAACTTAAAATTGCGTCATTTCAAGTCGTAGTTATGCAGGGACTGCAAAGAAATATACAAAAAAGCGTGATGCACGTGCAGAGTTGTTGTTTTGCTTTTTGGACTAGTTTCCCTTTGCCTTCGCCGTCGTAGTTTTGTAAGGTCCCTAACACAAAACGAGAAGACCCTGCGGACGAGGGTTGAGCAAATTTGAAAAAATAGCTCATATGTCAGAGGTCTGAGCGTATGTATTTTTGTGGCTTTGGCTGATTTGTGTGTTTGTATGTATGTTGCAGGATGATGGGCCAATAAGGTTGGTGGTACTATGGACCTCACTATGAGTTGATGCTTAAAACGAGTGAGATTTTCTTGGCATCTAAACATGAAATTGCAAAAGGTCAAACAAGGACACTTTGAGAGATCTTTGTTCTTCACAATTTTTTCGTTTTTTATTACGGCTAAATGTGTTTAGAAGCTTAACATTTCAATGTTTGTATAATTCAAACATTAAGTACCATCATGCAGCTATTAAAGGGTTCAAATTTTAGTATGGTGCTACTTCTTCAAGAAATTTATGGCCTAATTCGGCTATCTTGAAAGATACAACGCACGCATATTTGATAATTTATGAGTCCTGTTTCACCTAAGAAACTCCTCAAATAAAACCTTAATATTACTGATATTTACATCAGTATGGACTTGAACACGGAAGTATGCGTTCTAATTGTGGTTTTAGAAGTTTGCAAGACAGTTCATTTGTACCAAGCAAGTTTATCCTGTAAAAAAGCTTTAATATTCTCTCGCGTACAAAGTTCAACAGACCTTTTGCGTTCTGGCAGTCATGGATTTAGCAACAACATCAAACATGCTTGCTCATTAAGAGTCATGATAGTAATTAAAACGTATTTTATTTGACCTAATGACTTTACTGCGTGACTTAAGTAGAAACAATAGCGTTAGGGAACAAAATTGGAAGAAGCCAGTTGACAAAATATTTAGAGATTGTTTTATCGAGTGGAATTATAACATGAGATGAGTATTCTGTTTTTAACGCCTGTTGAAGTGGTCAGTCATCGGGCTGCTATATATTTGGCTGGCTAGCATTATTCTCGTTTCGTCTGACTTCGAACGTTTTGTTATCAGGGGCACCCAACGAGAATATAGTTCAAAACCACTTAAACATCGCATTCTTGAACGTATTTTAGTATTTAAACGGTAGGTATAGGCATATTTTTATCCTCTAAAAATTTTTCATCTGTTCGGATTTCCTAGCTGAAAGTCTAGTGATCCGAAAATTATAGGGATCAAAACTTACCTTTTCGAGAATTTCAGCCAGAAAAAAGGCTCCCGAAGTCTAGGTTACCTTTTTAAGGTAAAAATCCGTTAAAAATGACCAATTATACCATTTTTTAGATGTTCTAAAATCCTAGGAGAGGCAGGCAAGCAAGAAATTTTACGACAAATGTTCCGAAAATTCTAGATCTCAAATTGTCTTCAATTCCGAACAGATATTTTCCAAAAATTGCCGTTGGGTGCCCCTGTGTTATTATGTTGGGTACGTGTAGGTCACTCATTGGGCTGCTACTTTGTTGACATTATCTCTCGTTTCGCTTATCTTAATGTTAGGCGGTTTTTGTCTTAATGTAAAAAAAAAAAAAGGCGGTTATTTCGCTTCCCTTGTCTTAATGGTAGGCGGTTATTTTAGCAATTTTATTATTATTCCTGTTGGGTAGGTCAATCATTGGGCTGCTACTTTGTCGACATTATGTCTCGTTTCGCTAGTCTTGATGTTAGGCGGTTTTTCAGCAATTTTGTTATTATGCCTGTTGGGTAGGTCAATCATTGGGCTGCTACTTTGTCGACATTATGTCTCGTTTCGCTAGTCTTGATGTTAGGCGGTTTTTTAGCAATTTTGTTATTATGCTTGTTGGGTAGGTCAATCATTAGGCTGCTACTTTGTCGACATTATGTCTCGTTTCGCTAGTCTTGATGTTAGGCGGTTTTTTAGCAATTTTGTTATTATGCCTGTTGGGTAGGTCAATCATTGGGCTGCTACTTTGTCGACATTATGTCTCGTTTCGCTAGTCTTGATGTTAGGCGGTTTTTTAGCAATTTTGTTATTATTCCTGTTGGGTAGGTCAATCATTGGGCTGCTACTTTGTCGACATTATGTCTCGTTTCGCTAGTCTTGATGTTAGGCGATTTTTTAGCAATTTTGTTATTATGCCTGTTGGGTAGGTCAATCATTGGGCTGCTACTTTGTTGACATTATGTCTCGTTTCGCTTGTCTTAATGTTAGGCGTTTTTTAGCAATTTTGTTATTATGCTTGTTGGGTAGGTCAGTCATTGCTGCACAAGTTGAAGTCTTTCAATCAGATACTTTGGAAGACCATAGTACAGGGCATTACAGTAATCTAAATGTGAGGTTATGTAAGCTTGACCAATGGCAGTGTCATGGGATAAATATCACCTAATCTTGGCAATACCGCAAAAGCGGAAAACGCGATCTTGCAGGTCATATAAACCTGCTCACTAAAATCGTAATAATGATCAAGTCCAACTCCGAGATTCCTAGCATGTTCAC